AAGTCTCTTGAAGTCTTCCCTAAGCTTCTGGAATTTGATGGAGCAATGTGTAACCTGAAAAAAGCACTGATGTCAGCATCATCTGTAGCTGTTGGGCGGACTGCAGTATTGTTCATGTTTGTGTGCTGCTCACACTCACACGATGAATTAGTATCGGCTAAAACATTGCTCAGACATGGTACTGTTGATTCTGTTCATCTAGACATTGTCAGTGGCTCATCCGAGTGTCACGCGATCATACTCTAAAGACCTCACAGTACCTAATTTTCCTAATAGAGCAATTTGCTCTCAGGCTTACTCATGGTTCCTAGATGGTAAGTGGTTAATGGACTGGTTCCTATATAATGTTTTTTCTTCTTTCCTTCAGCACTTCAGCACTTTGAGCGCTCATTGAGATAATTAAACGTAGAATGGGAGGAAGAGCTTTCAGTTTTCTGTGGAACCAGCTTCCAGTTTGGATTTAGGAGACAGACACTATCTCTACTTTCAAGATTAGGCTTTCCTTTTTGCTAAAACGTATAGTTAGGGCTGGATCAGGTGACCCCTGCTAGTTACACTGCAATAGGCCTAGGCTGTTAGGGGCTTCCCATGATGCACTGAGTGTTTCTTCTTCACTCTAGACATGGGGTGTCCAACTCCAGGCCTCGAGGGCTGGTGTCCTGCAGGTTTTCGATCTCACCCTGGGTCAACACACCTGAATTCAATTCAATTTTATTTATACAGTGCCAAATCACAACAACAGTTGTCTCAAGACACTTGAAAGTAGAGATGGGAAAAAAATAAAAAATAAACTGGAAGCTGGTTCCACAGAAGAGGGGCCTGAAAAACAGCGGCCATGCAGGTCTTTATGTCTTTAAGACATTCCTGCAGTTTAACTAATTGGTGTGTGTTATCTGGCTTCATGGACAGATAGAGCTGGGTGTCATCTGCATAGCAGTGTAAATGTATGCTATGTCTTCTAATGATGCTGCCTAAGGGAAGCACGTATAATGTAAACAGAATTGGTCCTAGCACTGAACCCTGTGGAACTCCATAATTAACCTCAGTGTGTGAAGAGGACTCTCCATTTACATGCACAAACTGGAGTCTATTAGATAGATATGATACAAACCACTGCAGTGCAGTACCTGTAATACCTACAGCATGTTCTAATCGCTCTAATAGGATATTATGGTCGACAGTATCGAACGCTGCACTGAGGTCTAGCAGGACAAGGAGGCCTGGAGTTGGACACCCGTACTCTAGACTTTTGATTCCCACTATTGCATGTAATTAACTTTTGTCTAAACTCTCCTGCATTGTCTGTTGTTTGCTGTTTATGGTCTTTCCTTTCTTCGTTTTTATTTCTTCTAACTGGTTGAAGAAAATGCTGCTGCTGTCTGAGCTCCTTGTTTCTGTAGTGTGTGTTATTTGACACACACTGAGATTATTTTCAAACCTTAGGCCTCTTCCCTATTATGTATGTAGTGTTATTCATTCATACAAATAATCATTGTTTTCTATTCAGCTTTTGATGTTTTCTGATCCTTTAGCAGCTTTCCTGCATGTCTTCAGTGAACATTGTTGCTTTTCTTTCCCTTGCCAGTGCAAAGGATTTGTGCACTAATTCTTTCATATCAGACCAGAAGGGCTGATTGTCTTAATAATGCCTGCTGGTGAAGCTTATCAGCAGTTTGAATTGTAAGGGGCTGTTCTCAAAAGCAGCTATAGAAACACAAATAGGAGAGTAAAAGAGCCCTCAGAGAGATTTGTGATATTGTTGCTGCTGTGAAAAACTCATTTTCAAAGATTAAACGCTGTTTAGAATGTGATATCACCTGCAGCGGGTCGGAAACAGAATAAGAAAAACATTATGCTTATGCTATTTATTAGAACTTTATTCAAATTAGAGGACTGTCTCCTTACTGTGCGTTGTAAAGAGTAATTGTGTAGTGAGCAGCCCCTAGTTTGATTTGTGTTTAATTTAGTGTAGGAACATGAAAGTAGATGTTGGTCTGACTGGACCAGACCTGGCAGATACTGTTTACTTTGCCCTTACTCCTGCATTCTTAGATTCTTTGCTAACTCTAACCCTTTGTTTAGCTTGAACACTGTTTTCCACAAGCCCTCTAACTCAGTTAAAGTCAATGCCTTGAAGGTGTCGTATCTGCTGGTTAGTTGAATTGCCAAGACAAAAAAAAAGCAGTTCAACATTGGGGAGAAAAACAGGACATATAAGTAGAAGTTGCTAACGTAAATGTTAACGAGCTTCCGTGCTTATGTGTTCTTCAGTACTGACGAATTCTTCGCAATTACTCAACGAGCTCCACGGGGGAAAATGAAACTGAAGTTCAGTCTCTGTCCAATAAATACATTTCACAGTTAAATCAACACTTTCACACTGTGTCACACTGCGTATTGCTGTTGCATCTTTGTATTTAACACTGTGTCCAGTATTAGGACTTACTTACAGCTGAGCACTCCAAAAGTGTTGCTTATGAACTTGGGGGGATCTGGGAAACTGTGATAACAGTGACTCTGCTGCACATCACACTGCAGCACTTTGGAGATCAAATAAGAGGTGCACTGCCTCACCCGTCCTCACCCTCCGACACACAGATATGCACCAAGAGAGGAGCGACTACACAGAACAAACAAACTATACAGCGGCTCTGCGGCAGATCATGGCATTGTTTGAAGCAGGCATTAGATTTATGCCCTAATAAGCAATTTTGATCATCTCTCTCTGTGTTCCCTACAACAAAGAGGAAGAGGGGGGATGGGTTCGCTGTAAGCGCCTCCACATTTTCCACACTCGCTTCAGAAAGTGGGACAGAGTCAAAACGATGCGTTGTGCGGCGAGCACTTGGTGACTGAGTCACATGATGCTTGACAAAACCTATTTGATGCTTATTAAGAAAATGACCTGTCGGCAGTAAGCCTCAGTGGCTCTTGGGGGATGACAAAGGAACCGCAATGAGTCACACAGTGACATTTAAAACTAGAATCCGTGAAAGAAGAAGAAAGATATGCCACACTAAACTGTTGCAGTGCCGCCTGTCTGTTAATGTCTCGCAGCACACTTCATAGCCTTGGCTGAATTAGTTTTGCAGCAGCACAGACGCTTGACAGTGATTGGAAAAGCTTCTGTGGTTGACCCAGCAACACATCATGGAACCTCGTATACATATGTGTGTGTTTTTGTGTGGTAAACACCTCTTTCAGTGTGTGTGTAAGAAGCGATTGTCCGACTCGGTGTCAGTAGGTAATTTAGCGCGTCAGCGGGCTGGGCTCCTGTACGAGGGAAGCTGTTATTTCCGTTAAAGCCCTCCATGCTTGGTTGGTTTGGTTAGGAGCAGCATGAATGGACAGTGGCACCTGGGTGATGGTCACAGTGGGTGTGTGATGGTGAGCAGCAGGGGATTTTGTTCAAGGCCGGCTGTGTGCAGACTCACATAGGAGTGAGGAACAGAGGAGATGAACAGGCTGCTTACAGAGGGAATTATTCACACTGAAAGTACAAGTAAGCTGAATGATTTATGTCCTGTCCTTGTTATTTTATGGAGCACTTTGCCAGTGTCGCAACACCATCATTCTGTTGGAAGATAAAGCACAGACAGAAGAGGCAGCACAACGAGGTTACTTGTGCGAATCACACATTTTTCTTATTACAAATGCCATTTATTATGTTTTGCTATATAAAAATAGTTTCTATCTCTCATTGTTAAAGTAGTGCTGAGAAACAAAATCATTGTCATTGGGAGCTATAGCATTAGCCAGGATAAATGCCTATCCCACAGAGGCATGTTATATATATATGTATGTGTGTATATGTAGGGATGGGTATTGATAAGATTTTCACGATTCCGATTCCATTTTCGATTCCTTATCGATTCTTTTAAAAAGGAGAACACTAAGGTCGATTAGCTTACAACTTTGTTTTATATCTTCTCTTTGAACAAGAGAAATTTAGGAGTAACATGGCCTTACAAACCCAACAGTGAGATCTTAAGAGATCCACAGCCTACGGCTCTTCAATGGGGTGTCACAGGGTCCCCAGGAAAAAAATTTGTAAATGTAAAATAATAAAATAAATGTAAATTTAAAGTTCATGCATTTATTACTTCTTATGGACTACTGTAATTCATTATTATTGGGATGTCCTAAAAACCAACCTTTAGTTAATCCAAAATGCTGCAGCTAGTGTACTGACAGGGACTAGAAAGAGAGAGCAGATTTCTCTTGTATTGGCTTCCCTTCATTGGCTCCCTGTTAAATCCAGAATTGAATTTAAAATTCTTCTCATCATATATAAGGTCTTGAATAATCAGGTCCCAACATATCTTCATGACCTTCAGTTTTCAGGCCCCTCTTCTGTGGAACCAGCTTCCAGTTTGGATTCAGGAGACAGACACTATCTCTACTTTTAAGATCAGGCTTCAAACTTTCCTTTTTGCTAAAGCATATAGTTAGGGCTGGACCAGGTGATGTTGTAATAGACGTAGGCTGCTGGGGGACTCCCATGATGCACTGAGTGTTTCATTCACTATGTGTTTATACACCTCTCTGCATTTAATTATTAGTTATTATTAGTCTCTGGCTCTCTTCCACAGCATGTCTTTGTCCTGTCTTCCTCCCTGAACCCTAACCGGTCATGGCAAATGTCCGTCCCTCCCTCAGCCTGGTTCTGCTGAAGGTGTCTTTCTGTGAAAAGGGAGTTTTCTCATTCCCATTTGCTCAAAGGGTTCATTTGATTGTTGGGGTTTTTTTTTTTTTTTTTGTAATGTTGTAGGGTCACCTTACAATATAAAGCACCTTGAAAAGCTCTTGTTGTGATTTGATGCTATATAAATAAAATTATATTGAGTTGTGTTGAACTGAGGAATATCAAGTTTCACAACATCTGACTGTATCTCATTAATATTAATTAGCACCTCACTTTTCAGTCTCAGTACTATCTATGTTGCTGCTAACAGCAGCATTTCTCTTGTTAGTCTTAACATTTTTTTGTTTGTTTCCAGGAGTCTATACCTTTGGCCTCTTCACTGTTGACATCTTTGTCAACGCAGGGCAGGTAGTGACAGGAAACCTGGCACCGTACTTCCTGACTGTCTGTAAGCCAAACTACACAGCACTGGGTTGCCAGCAGGCCCTGCGCTACATCAGCCACCAGGAGGCCTGCACAGGAAACCAGGATGACATCCTACGTGCCCGCAAGACTTTCCCATCCAAAGAGGCTGCGCTTAGCGTCTATGCTGCACTCTACCTAGCTGTGAGTTTTTCTTACATCCAGCCATATGTGTTTAGTATAATCCTTTTGTTGTCTCTGATTGTATCACCTCCGTTTTGTTTGCGAGGGATCTGGCGTTGGTGAGAAAGATGGATGGAAACAGGGTTTGTTTTGTTGTTTTCGCTGCTGGACATGATAGCCCCGCATCCCTGCTTTTGTTTCCGTGTCACCTATCTCTGCACAGTCTGTGTCGCTTGCTGTTCCCAACAGTAACCCACAGGGCGCCTGGTAGTCTCACAATCTCAGGTGGGTTACTGCTATGCAGCAGAATTCATGGTTCCATTTACCACAGCAAGTCTTCTAGGTCCTGAGCCAGCAAAACAGCCCCAGATCATCACAATACCACCACCATATGTTACTGTTGGTATGATGGTCCTTTTGTGAAGAGGTGACTTCCAAAAAGTTCAGCTTTGTCTCGTCAGTCCACAGAATATTTTCCCCAAAAGTCTTGGAGATAATCAAGATGTTTTTTGGCACATGTAACACTGTTGTGTTCTTTTTGGTTAGCAGTGGTTTTCTCTTTGAGCTCTCCCATGGATCCCATTTTGCCCAGTCTCTTTCTTATTGTTGAATCATGACCTCTGACCTTAACTTAGACATGTGAAGCCTGCGGTTCCTTAATTATGTTCTGGGTTCTTTTGTGACCTCCTGGATGATTGGTTGACGTGCTCTTGGAGTACTTTTGGTAGATCAGTCACATTTTATTTATATAGCGCTAAATCACAACGGTTGCCTCAAGGTGCTTGTGTAGTGAGATAGCCACAGGCAGGAATGATTTCCTGTGTTGTTGAGTGGTGCATTTGGGCAATCTTAGTCTTTAAGTAGGGCTGGGTGATATGAACCAAAATTCATATCTCGATATTTTTTAGCAGGATGGCGATATAAGATATATATATCTCGATATTTTTTTTAAAGCCATAAGGTACGAACAAAAAGAGAGTTCTTAGTCAAAGCTGTGTCCCAGATGTCACACAGGCACTTTTATTAACATACATAGATGTACATGAAAAAAACTACTCAAAAATAAATTATGAGCATTTATTATATAATAAAAGTGCTCCATAAATAAAACAAAACTGTTGTTTTTGTGCATAACAAAGAGCTCACAATTGTGCAGTCAAAATCTAAACTAAAAGACGCTGAGCATAGTAACAGAGACAGATTTCACAGTTCGTGACTGACAGCCTGGAGTTTGAAATCTGCTTCATAACCACGTCTCTTACAGGTGCCATTTATGGTCCTTATACACACACACAATACGGTAATATTACGCTGAAGCACAGTACGTATCACTTCGCGAGGCTCCTCGGTAGCCGTAATGCTCCGACTATCCATCAAGCCGGTGCAGCTCCGTAGCTTAGCAAAGTCGTACTAAAACATTTTTGACCCTGAACAACTAGAATTCATACATAAGGCGCACTGTCGATTTTTGAGAAAATGAAAGGATTTCAGGCCGTGCATGGCGTTAGCGTGGTTAGCTCGTTAGCATGGTTAGCACATTGACGCCATCCAGCCCCACGCACGGGGCGATGCGCAGTAACTCGTTAACGGAGATTTGCCGTGCCCATCTTGTCGCTGCCTGCAGGTGAAGCGATGGGGGAGGAGGGGGAGTTGTGTTCAGTGAAGGAGAGGTGAGGTCGAGTAACGTTGCGTAAAGACAAAAGTGGACGAAAGAGAGGCAAACTTGTGGCTCCACAACTATAATTATAACGTAACATAGACTATATCGATATAAAAGATATTGTCACATCTTACATCTCGTATAAAAATATATCGATATTTTTAAAAAACTCGATATATCGCCCAGCCCTATCTTTAAGTGAACATGCCCCTGTGACTGGCTAGCACCTCATGGAGTGGGTGGGAGGCATTTTGCAGCATTGTCCTTATCTTGGAAACCATGAAACAGCATAGAGGATGGCATTGATCACACAGACTCAAAGAATATCCTGAGCATGGTCCGATGTTAAAAGACCTCAGCTACCTTGGCTCTGGCCTGTCCTGCACTGTGCAGTGATGCTTTTTTACCAGTCCAGTTTATTGTTTATCAAACTTACCTCATACAAACACTTTTTTCCATGCTTTTTTGCTTTTCCATGCTTTCAGTCTGACATTCACACACATACATACACTGATAGATGCATCGGAGAGCAACTTGTGACCAAAGAATAGTTGGTCCTGGAGACTGAAGCAGCAACAACAACCTTCCAATTACTAGATCACCTGCTCTACCTCCTACAGCCATCCTGTGTGACTGTTGATTTATCCTTTAAGCAAAGCACAACAATGAAACCTTTTCAAAAAAGCTTCCAATGCTTTCTGATGATCTGATTTGTTTGATTTTCTGTGTCAGAACCAATGTGTACCCAAGTGCCCATAAGTGATCGATGCATGGCTTTGGACGATCACTGCCTGCCTGCATGGTGAGGAGAACAGATTGTCTCTGTTATATAGGTCATTTAGCACAGGCATATGTGTGTGTCCAGGACATACATGCAGTTTGCACACACTGACACACACAATACTGCAACTCCAAGAAGATGATGAAAATTATCCCTCTTGTTGTCTTAGTCATTACAGCAATGCCAGGGTCAAACACAGCAATCCAGAGTCTGTTGAATCAGCTGTAATTGCTCCTAGAGCAGGGCGATATGACCAAAAATATTTATCACCATACATTATAACTGACGATATAATTGACACTAGACAAAATACTTTACAACTCCACAACTTTATTAGTGCAAAAAAAACCAACCCATCAATGTATTTTCACTTAAACAAGCAGCTGTTTTTTAAGTGCATTAAAGTTATATAAAAATGTAACAGTGCAAATGCAAATTCCTCGCTGACAGTTTAACCAAAAGGCATTTCCAGTGGAAACTGGCCGACATATCCTCAGCATAACCATGTATAATATCCACAAAACTTAAAAAGAGGTTATACACACACAATATGGTAATATTATGTTGAAGCACAGTATGTAGCACTCCACGAGGCTCCGCCTACGATAGCCGTAATGCTCCGACAATCCATCAAGCGGTGCGGCTTCGTAGCTTAGCAAAGTCGTACTAAAACATTTGACAGATTTTCGAGCGCCGTGCACATAAAATCGTTTCGAGGTCAGTAAACACAACCAGAGTTCATACATAAGGCACACGGGATTATAAGGGGCTCTGTCGACTTTCAGAAAAATCAAAGGATTGATTTTAAGTGTGCCGTATTTTCCAAAAAACACGGTAATAACGACGGCCTGCTAGCATGCTCTACCAAAAATAGTGCTTTGTTGTAGAGCAGGGTGATATGGCCAAAAATATTTATCACGATACATATTTGAAAATTTGTGATAACAATATAACTGATGATATAATTGATGCGGAAAAAAATACAACTCCACAACTTTATTAGCGCAAAAAACAAACAAACATCCATTTATTTTCACTTAAACAAGAAGCTGTTTATGTGCATTAAAGTTATATAAATATTTAACAGTGCAAATGCAAATTCCTTGCTGAAAGTTTAACCAAAAGGCATTTCCAGTAGAAATGGGCTGACATATCCTGAGCATAACCATGTATAATATCCACTGAAGTTAAAAAGAGGTGCTTTGCAACATTAAACCGCCTCACGGTGCGGAATGACGAGGATTTATTGGAGCGGGTGAATGAACAAAGCAGGAACGGCAAGACTGACTAACTGACTGAATAATTGAATACAAACGGGAACGACAATACTGGCAACATCAACATCAATGACACGACAAAGAACTGGTGAAACCAAGGAACTTAAATACACAGGTCGAATGATGACAATGATTGGAAACAGATGAGTACAGGGCTGAACATAATCTGACTAATGACACAAGAGACAAGCTGACATGGGAAAAAACAGGAAATGAGAACATTAATGTGGCAAACTAAACTGAACATCAACAAACTGAAATCACTCAACGACCCAGGAACCTTGACAGTACCCCCCTTCAAAGGCCGGCACCCGATGGCCGAAAGAAAAAAAACAAAAAAACAGAACAAAGTTGGCGGACGGGGTCCAGGACGGAGGGACAGAGTCCGAAACAAAACAGTTCGGGGGGGTGGCCACGCGGCCTGCGGCTGAGCCAAAGCAGTTCTGGTGGGCGGCCACGCTGGTGGCAATGGCAACTACTGAGCAGGTCCGGTGGGCGGCCGCAAGGAAGATGGCGGCGAAAAATATCTTGATGATAAAAATATTCTCTAGAGGTTTGTTCCTGTTGCATTCAGCATAACACTAACACAACATTTTATAAAAACAATCATCATACTAGCGGTCAAACATGGTGGTGGTAGTGTAATAGTCTGGGGCTGTTTTCCTGCTCCAGAACCTGAATCATTTGTTGTAATTAATGGAAACATGAATCCTGCTCTCTAACAGAAAATCCTGAAGGAAAATGTGGTTAAAGGAATTCAGCTGAGTGGGCCAAATTCCTTTCACAGTGATATAAAAGACACATTTCCTGTTATTGCAACTGCTTGATAACCCCACAACCAGTTATAAGGTGTAGTGGGCAATTACATTTTCCTGGTAACATTTTTAGTTCCAGGTGTTTTTTATTTGACTTTGTTTTCTTTGCCTAATGTTAAAATTTGTTGATCTGAAAAATGTAAGCGTGACACATATGCAAAAACGGAAGACATCAGGAAGGGGCAAATTTATTTTTCCATGAAATTCTCATTACTTGCTTACATTCATAGTAACCAGTTCCAGGCTGTGCTGTTTCAGATAAACAGTGGGTAGTCGTCAAGTTGTGCAAGTGCCAAAATTTGGATTGGGACATTTGTCCTTAATCATCGTTCTAGCAAAAAAATTTATTTTGCTTGAACTTGGCAAAGCTCTAACACAAATAACACTAAAATCTTGTGCATTTGAAACAGGTTCCTGCCACTGTAAGATAGCTAGCATTAGCATTAGCACTGATGAGAATTAATTGGTGTCTCTTTTGATTATCATGT